TGCTTATAAAGATAATGTTCGCCATAATGAACAACGTTTTTACAATTTTCTTACAAAGGGTCAGTTTTAACGTTATACTTCAGAAAGTACAAATGCACAGTGACCGCTAGTTTGATTGGTATTATAGGGGCACGCCATCTATATACCCCACACATGGAAATGTAGCTAAAAGAGGGACGAAAGATACCAGAGGGACAGTCAAACTCATAGATCGAAAACAAACTGACAACGTCATGGCCAAAAATTAAAAAAAACCAGACAAATAATAGTACAAATGAAACAACATAGACAACTAAAGACTAAGCAACACGAACCCCACCAAAAACTGGGGGTGATCTCAGGTGCTCCGGAAGGGTAAGAAGATCCTGCTCCACATGTGGCACCCGTCGTGTTGCTTATTTTATTACAAATCCGGTAAATAGTCTAATTCGGTAGGTCACATTCGTGAAAAGGGAAGGGTATTGTAGTTTCGACATAAGGAACATATCCGATATCATCTGTGAAACGGTTATTCCATAACATTCAACCAACTCGTGATGGCGTTCGTAAAATTTACAAAGGGATGATTTCAACTTCATCATTTGGAACTCTTGGTTCAATAGCTTCCTTGTGAGCAGCAATCCTCTATCAAGGAAATCATGATAGGAAATACAAGCCCGGGAATATCGTATCAATTGGGAGATATATACTCCGTATGCTGGCGCTGCTGGAATGTTGCTACATAGAAATGGAAAGTTCACAATTGGGAAGCTGAAATCATCTCTTTTGTTGTAAAGTTTTGTTTTCAACCGACCTAAGAAATAGTTATGTCCTATTTATCATGTACATATATTCTTCTTTATACGGTAGCAGTGGATATTTTACTTGCTTTGTTACTTGATATAAACTTTACAGATTGAATACATGTATTTGTACATAAAGTCCGCATAAAACTTTGCTTGTTATACAAATTTCTCCGTGATCTGCCTTTTAATCAATCAGAAACGATATTGGTTAACGGGGATTGAATATATATTCCAATAATATCAAATTCTTTAAGTCGTAAATACATGTATTTTATATAAAATGTTATAAGTTCTGATCGGTTTTAAAATGAAGCATTAATCTTATAAATATAGATTCTACCACTGCATCGAGTGTGATACGATATTTATCCACTCGAGACAGTTAAATTTTCAAATTTAAAACGCGAGGCTCGCCGAGCGTTTTAAATATTTAAAATTTAACTGTCGAGAGTGGATAAATATCGTATTACACGAGATTTGGTGGTGGAATCTGTTTCTCTAATGATTTTCAAACAATACGCAGGCAAATTTATTCCTTCTTTTCGAATGATCTGCAAAAAGATGTGTTCTTTCTATGTGACGTTACAGGCATGGTCGCCTTTTTTCATGCCGTCACAATAGGAAATTCAGAGGAAAGCAAGAAAATTCGACGTCATAATCGGATTTTAACCAATGAAGAACTGAGATCAAACGAACCACACGTTGATTAATTTTTTTTTTTATACAATGGGTGCAGAAAGGGATAAATTGACGAAGAATTAGAGAAACTTGTTTATCAGATAACATTGATAAACAATGCCAATAACAAATAGATCGTAAAAAACAATCATGAAAACTGAAATCAATATTGGTGTACATACAGTTACTGATATTTATCATGTTTATGGTCGGCTTACTAATATGTCTTTTTCTGCAAAAATAAAGAGTTCAAGCATGTTCTTCTTTTATTCAAGTAATCAAATCATAACCAAAATCAGGCAGTTTTCACATATCAGACTGGCTCAAATATATCAAAATGTTTTGACCGCATCAACCAAAACTGACCATATTTCATTTTATTACGTAAATATATATATAGATTCATAGTAAATCAGTATTATTTCTATCTCAGGATGGATTGTATAATAGAAATGACTGCAATATTGCAACACAATGACTAAAATATTTTGTCCGCATCAATTTAGAATACCAGCATGCCCTCTTTTAAATCAAAATAGTGAATGATAAAATTAAAAAAATACAGTAGCTATGATATCGAAGGCTGACTCGTATAACAAAATTTTTTGACCGCATCAACCAAAACTGACCATATTTGCACTTTATTATGTAAATCTATATAGTCGCATAGTAAACTAGCAGTTTTTATATATATTTATATATACAAGAAGATGTGGTATGTGTGCCAATGAGACAAGTCTCTATCCAAGTCACAATTTGTAAAAGTAAACCATTATAGGTCAAAGTACGGTCTTCAACACAGAGCCTTGGCTCACACCGAACAGCAAGCTATAAAGGGCCCCAAAAATGACTAGTGTAAAACCATTCAAACAGGAAAAACCAACGGTCTAATATATATAAAAAACGAGAAACACTTATGAACCATATCAACAAACAACAACTACTGAACATCAGGTTCCTGACCGCATCAACCGAAACTGACCATAATTCCATTTATCTTTGTAAATATATATATATATATAGCCTGATAGTAAATCAGTAATATTTCTATGTCAGGATGGATAGTATAATAAAGATGACAGCAATATTGGAACACAATGACTACAAAATTTTGTCGGCATCAATTTAGAATGCCAGCATGTCCTCTTTTAATTCAAAATATTGAATCGTTAAAAAAAATTCAGTAGTTTTGATATCTCAGGCTGACTCGTATAACAAAATTATTTGACTGCATCAACCAAAACTGACCATATTGCACTTAGTTTGTAAATCTATATAGCCGCATAGTAAATCAGTCTATGACTGGATGAATTGTATAATAAAGATGACAGCAATATTGGAACACAATGATTACAAAATTTTGTCTGTATCAATTTAGAATGCCAGCATAATCTCATTGTATTCGAAATATTGAATCGTAAAAACAGTTCAGTAGTTTTGAGTGTCCGCACCAATTTTGAATGTCCTCTTTCAATTCCAAATATTGAATTGTAAAAAAAAATCAGTAGTTTTGATATCTCAGTCTGACTCGTATAACAAAATTATTTGACCGCATCAACCAAAACTGACCATATTTGCACTTTATTATGTAAATCTATATAGCCACATAGTAAACTAGTATTTTATATATATATATATATAAGAAGATGTGGATTGAGTGCCAATGAGACAACTCTCCATCCAAGTCATAATTTGTAAAAGTAAACCATTATAGGTAAAAGTACGGTCTTCAACACAGAGCCTTGGCTCACACCGAACAGCAAGCTATAAAGGGCCCCAAAAATGACTAGTTGAAAAGCATTCAAACAGGAAAACCAACGTTCTAATATATATAAACAACGATAAACGAGAAACACTTATGAACCACATCAACAAACGACAACTACTGACCATCAGGTTCCTGACCGCATCAACAATAACTGACCATAATTCCATTTATTTTTGCAAATATATATATATATAACTAGAGAATCGTTCGACCAACCATATCTGCTGCGCCTGATAGAAATCGACCTTATGCAAAAGAATATCAATACAGTCTGTTAACCTATTTATTGTTTAAAAATCTATAAGGAAAGTCTGTATATAACGGTTTAAAAATTGAGTTAAAATTAAATGACAAACAGTTATGTTCGACAGAATTCTTTGACAACCACTAGACTACATTCTCTAATGAAATCAAGTTAAACATATATTGGAGTTAACATCATCCTAACGTATGGCAATAGATTTTATATTAAATGAATAGAAACACTTCAAAACCGTGATGTCCGCCATTGTGCATCTACGGAAGAAACAAAAGTGGGAATCATGCGCGCTTCAAAACTTTTGAATGTTGTTTGTTGGTTGAATTATTTCAATACTGTTTATCCAAACATGCCAAATGAACATCTCTTCAGACGGACCCAACACTACAATGTCTGACACAAATATTCAGTCTTTAAGATAACGCTTTTTCGTTTAAGTGAATCAATGAGCACGTAAATTTAATGTATTTTTTTCTCGTAAAATGGTTTCGTTTCCATTTCTACCAGTTCATTTATACATAGATTTGGGAACATCTAAACTCATTAATCGAGAAATTTCATGCCGTGTAGGACGACATGATGGCAATATCAGCAAGCCCGTGTGTACCTTTTGTTATTCCACTGATTAGAAAGTTGAAACTTGAATGCTATTCTTATTCGACCACATGTTCTGCGTTTGTCTAAAATCTCGATCCTCGTCATTGATTTTCTAGTAATATATCAATTGTCCTTAGCTTCAAAACGTACTATCATATAAACCATGGGATGAGAACATACATATTTGCAAGGTCGTTGTTCCTTCTGTTTTGAAAAGAATGATTTACATTTAAATTGTTTACTCTGTTTTGAAAGAACCCTGTGGTATATCATAATTTATTTTAAATCTTTTACATGTTTGGTATTTTCTTCATGCATGTGTGACAGTTTTAGTACAGAACAATCTATAGGAGCTTCAGGTTTTGATCATAGAAATAAGAAGATGTGGTATAAGTGCCAATGAGACAACTCTCAATCCAAGTCACATTTTGTAAAAAGTAAACAATTAAAGGTCAAAGTACGACCTCAAACACGGAGCCTTGGCCCACTATGGATAATGTTCGCCTAGTTAAATCCATTTTGTGTCAGTGTCTACCTTTTGTCAGTTCTCCTTATATACAGATGTCTTGTTTGATCTGAGGTTGAATTTCGTTGAGATGTTTACTCGTTTACCAAGTTATGTGATAGGTCAACATGATATATTGATGTATTCTATTATAAGGGTGATACGTGTACTGTGTCTTTTTTGTGTTGAATTAAACTCGATACACAAATACGTCTTACAGTTTAATGGTAAAGCTGCAAATATAGATATTCAAGTTATCGTCCGGAGGTTAGAAGATTTGTTGATAAATTAAGGGAAACAAAAATAACAGCGTATTTAACCATTTATTATTTGCCTGGAAGTATCAGACATTATTGTGTAAGTAACGTTACATCTGTCATTAAATTATATCCGTCTTTTTTTTTTCAGAACAAGCAACACCAGACGAATCAATCATGTCAATAGCTCTATATAGGTATATGTGTCTAAATATTGTCGGATCAGAGGAGCACGTTAAAACAATCAGAATGGTACATACAGTCAGAGACAATCTTCCAGGCAATGATGATAAGGGAAGGATCACAAGTGGAAGTTTTGGAGAAGGACTGGAGATGCGAGGAAGTGATATAGATCTGATGAAAAAAATTCCATTTACTGAGGTTTGTGAGACCATAAACATTCCTTGCAACCCTGATAAAACATATTTCACCATGGAAACAGACGATACAGACCCCGGATTTACCCTGTTACGTTTGATACATATTGATGAGTTTAACCCGTTAGTTTTTTGTGTACAGATTGGAGGTAAATACTACCTTTCAAACATTTATATAAAACAAATTTTCTTGAATAAGTCTTCTTCTCCGATCATTCATGGACCGTGTATATCCGACGAAGATGGGGTTTACGACACTGCACCTTATTTACATTGTAAATCATGGATAACGCAAGCACAACCGTGGATAACACGATCAAATAACGGATGGCCTGGACACAATGTTAAACAGTCGATTATAAAACAAGGCGTTCTATTTGTAGCAAAAGGTATCCAAGGATCAACCAAAGAAGAATTTGAATGGAGAATATCGTTTTCCGTTGGAGAAAAACGTCTGATCTATACATTTACACACACGCAATTACTATGTTATGCACTTTTGAAAATTCTTCTCAAAGATGTGATAAGTATCGACTTAGATTGTAAAGAATTACTTTGTTCATATTTCATGAAAACAATTTTGTTTTGGATATCAGGAATTTCCACCTTCAATATGGAGACCAGATAACGTCATATCCAATTTTATGAGGTGTGTGAGGAGACTTATATACTGTGTTGAACACTCAATTTGTCCACATTATTTTATTCCCGAAAGTAATTTATTTGAAAATAAGATTAAAGGAAAAGCACAAGGAACACTCTTAAAAAAGTTAAATACTCTAAATAGTTATGGGTGGCGATGTATCTTATTTTCAGATCAAATCTCGTATTTTAATGAATTAGCATTTCACATACTCAATGAAGAAAGTCCGTTATGTTTTGATAGTCTTAAACTAATAGTATCCCCATTTATGTTTTTAACGAATTTTGTTATCCCAAGTTACCATTCTTCATGGAGAACAGAAGTTCCCATGATATTATCTCTTGAGAGTTCCAAAATAAAATACCTTTACGCGTTCTACATGTCAAAGAAGTCTTGCTTTAAAGCCCAGTTACTACCATTTGATTCACTTTACGATAACAAATCTACATATAAACAACACAAAACCTGTATAAATACGTTGTTACTGAATATACGTCATGATGCTGTGTCTGGGTGGCTGATGGTAGCTTCATTTTTCTATAAGACAAAGCAATACAAAATAGCTTATTGCATCTTGCAGTATTCCCTATTAAAATGTTCACCCGAAAAACTTTACATTGACATTAATTTGTCAGAAATTCATTATGAAATATTAAGTTTGGATGTGTTCAGGCAAATGAATATTGCCAAGTTGTGGAAATTGCTGATGGTAGATAAAGTATGGTTTTTTAAAAACAACTCTACATTATTACCGGATGAATTGCAAATCGAAGTAAATACGGGAATATTCATAATACCGCCAGTGGTATATGCTCATTTCCTTCTTTGTCTTTGTCATTATCATCTTAACAATATCATCCAATGTCAGCATTCTCTTCAAGATTTACAATTGACAATAGACGAAGAGTATTTCATAGCTGGTTCCGAGGAGAGAGCTATATCATACAACATCCTCGGTATAATTTTTCAGTTAGTAGGCGACATAGAATCAGCGAGACGTGCATTTATAAAAGCTTCAGAATAGGAATTGAATCCATTTATAAATAATGCGTCCCAGGATTGTCATTAGTAGGTTCAATAAACTAATGATTATTTTTACGAATGTCAGTGAACTACATGTGTTTTTTTCTGATTCTTTTGATGATTATTGTAGTTTTGCTCATATGGTGACTCTTATTTTATTTGTCTATTTTTATATGAGTTTTAAAACAAATAATGCAATATATGAAACAAAGTAAAACACGACATAAAAAGCTATGAGATGTCTTTCTTCATTATCGAAACCTCGATCTGGAATAATCCTTCTTTCAATAAACTGAATATCGATATGTTGACATTCTGTAATCTTTTGAGTCATGCAAATTTTCTATACATACTAGTATTTATAACGAGGAGATAAAAACTTAATTTATTATACCCCTATATCTGGTATGTCACTTGGATGTCATACACTCTTATCAAAACATTAAAAGCTTTGAAGTTTTACCTGCATAAATAAATGTGATATTTACATGTCCATGATGTCGTGTTACATTGATGAACTCATTTTTAGACTATTTATAATATACTGAATAGTATAAACAAAATATATGCATTCAAAATTATAATCCTGGAATCTTTAATGAGTTTTTACAACAACTAGGTCGATGCAACTACTGGTGGACGTGGTGGCCTCGAAGGTATCACGTGGTAAAAAGTAAATATACAAAAATACCGAACTCTGAGGAAAATTCTAAACGGAAAGTCCGTAAGCAAGTGACAAAATCAAAAGCTCAAACACATCAAACGAATAGGTAAAAACTGTCATATTCCTGACTAAGTATATGCATTTTCATATGTAGAAAAACCTCTCACTTGTATGACAGTCGCATAAAAATCCATTATATTGACAACGATGTGTGAACAAAACAAACAGACATAGGTACAAATGTCAAAAATAGGAGTACAGCAGTCAACATTGTGTTATAATCTTAATCTATTCTACAAAAGGAAGAGACCGATTTCTTTGAGCCGCAACTCCTCTGAAACCATACAAAGTCGGAAATATTTGTGATATGACGTATAAATGTAGTGCTTTGTATTTTCTAAATTTGTCTTTGAAACAATTTTTGTTTTCGCAGAAAACGACAATTTTTGAGAAAATATCCAAATTCGGAGACCACTTTCGATCCGTGTTTTATACGCTTTCGTGCATGATAAGCCGACGAACTGCCCGATAACTTGCACCACTCAAAACTCTTACTAATAATTACAAACTTGCATCACTTTATCAAACTCGCACCACTAAAAAAAAGTAATATTACAAACTCTAAGAAATGTGTTTAATCATTGGATTGCTTTCTTCTTCTCTTAGTAAATTCCTTCTTTCTCAAACAGAGACAGAAAAAAAATACTGGTCCTTTCATGCAGATCTCACATTACATCGAAGAGGATTGAGCCATTATCCCAAAAAATTCTATATAGGTGGCACGGTAGTATTTCCTGGCCCATAAGGGATAATGATAGCCTTTTTAGAATTTACACCACTTTCTAACACTGCCAAAAATTCTACATTCACAGTTAACTGAAGTACTTTCATTTTACTATTCAGAAATGAATTTGAATATGTATCATGACCGTTTACTTTTTTTGCTATCTTCAAGAACCTAAGGTCACTAGTGCTTTTAGGTCTTTTATCGTGCAGTGAATACAAAATTTAAAAAAATTCTCAAAAATTCATTTTCATCTGTATGTAAAATTATTTCATATTTTTCTACACCTGATTCATCCCTCAGTTTGGGAAAGTATGTTCAGTTGATACTGTATTTTTTGTCCAATCATAATATTCAAACACATTGACTTAAGTAGGGTACATAAAAGAGCAACCTAAATTCTGGAATGCAAATACTACCGTGCTACCTATAGTTACCTTGACATATAAAGTTCTAATAAATATACGATATTGGAAAGATGAAGACTAGTATGAAGTTCCGGAAATTCCGATCCATTCAACTCTAAGTTGACATCCAATTTCAGATTATTGGATGAACATGATTAATTTTGTTCAAGGATCTGAATTCAACAAGTCTTAGAATACATATTTAAAAATATATAAGAATCGATGAAATAACGTGTTCCGTTTTACGTGATACATTTATGATAAACATTTACATGTCAAAACCTAGGTTTAACCAAAGTATCTTGTATTTCATAGGTATATAAATAGAGATGATAACATATTGATTTAAAGGTCACTTCTAATAATACTTATGATTTGGTCGCGGTTGAAAGTATAGCCAATTGAAATATGTGTAAAGGTGGTACACATTTGAATTCAGTAATACATATCAAGTAAGGATATTTCGTTGATTGATAGGCTGATTCCAATTCGTGCTATTTTAATCAAGCATTTATTTCAAACAATTTGATAGAATTGGGAGCGATGAGGCTCAAGCTCAACTACCTTTTTTTATTCCAGTTTTTTTTTCAAATTATGACAAACAAATAACCAAAATAACTGAAAAACAACAATAAAAAGAGAAAAAAATACCACCGAACCACCCTTTTGCATTATATAGCAACCATACTGTTGATCAAATTGATCTATGCACGCCCAAATGGAAGAACAGAGAGATAGCAAACTAGAAAAAAGTAAAATAACAAAATACCGAACTACAACGGAAATTCAAAACTATTTACAACGGAAATTCCAAACGGAAAATCCTTTATCATGTTGATAAAATGGCAAAATCAAATAGCTCAAACGCATCTAACGAATGGAAAACAACATTCTAAAACTCTAAAACATTTTTTCTGGATAATCTAAGGTTGTTCCTCGTGATGCAAGTATTGTTCATATTTTTAAAGGCATTTTATTTTCAAACCGTGAGAAATTTCAAGAGGTGCCGTTTCTTTTTTTTTTAACTTTACATATGTATATATATATTGATTTTGACTCCAGGTTTGTATTCTGGTTGATACTACAATGATGAACATTTTTACGGAAATGTTGTTAACCGTGCCCGGAAATTTAGAAACGATCCTGGTAAACTTATCGATCCTTTAAATAAACTTATTCTAAAAGGTTACCAATTCAACACTGTAATAAGATCATTGAATATTGTTTTTATTGGTATAAATATTGATTTTGTTATCAGTAAAATAAAAGCAAACTAAATACTACTGGTATGTTTTATACATATACACATTCATGGATCTACAATCTGTCGATACCTGTATCTTGGCATTGCACAAGGTCATGTTTTTCTCTGACTGTTTATGACGTCTTTACACTTAATCCATTGGATGCTGGATGTGTACGGATTGATAATTTAGTCTTAGATGCTTGATTTTTTTATTAGTTGTTAGTGGCTTTGAACTATCTGTCAGTTAACTGCGAGTACTCTGAGATCTGTACCTAGTGTCTTTTTGTTGTTGGGATGTACAAGTACCCGGCCACGTCCACTTGTATTTTTATCCATCTGATGAGTTAAGCCTTTTTCAACAGATTTTTATAGTTCGTTCTTATGCTGTACTAATATACCACTGTCCCAGGTTAGGGGAGGGTTGGGATCCCGCTAACATGTTAATTTAGTGGTTGTCGTTTGTTTATGTGTTACATATTTGTTTTTCGTTCATTTTTTTTTTTTTTTTTTTACATAAATAGGGCCGTTAGTTTTCTCGTTTGAATTATTTTACACGGTCATTTCGGAGCCTTTTATAGCTGACTATGCGGTATGGGCTTTGCTCATTGTTGAAGGCCGTAACGTGACCTATAGTTGTCAATTTCTGTGTCATTTTCGTCTCTTGTGGAGAGTTGTCTCATTGGCAATCATACCACATCTTCTTTTTTTTAAATGTACCGAAAAAAAAATGGTTTAGCCGCATCAAGAAATACTATAGACGTTGTCCCTTCATCGGAAATATTCATGTGCTCTGCATTTTAAAAGAATATTTGCCTGTTATGTTAAATTTGCTTGTCGCTCGCGAACACAAGAGTTTTATTAAATTTTAAACCATTAAGAATGCTCGAAAGTACAGATCTGGAAGGCAGGACTGTGTAAATATGTGCTAAAAGGCTGTTGTGATAATTGCCAAAGTCGTCTAAGCTCAACTTTCCGTGAGTGAGTTGGGTCATTTATTTCTATATAATTTAAAGAACGTTCATTTAAACAAAAACCTTTATTTTAGAGTTCTGTTAGTTACTACAGTATGTATCTTTATTTAACAGCAGACAAAGTTTGTAACATTGCCGACATTCAACAACAAATGTTTGTGGCTTTGAACTTTTGTCTTCGTGTGACAAGTATTAAACACAGCGTCTGAATTCAACAAGCTTAAAAAAACACAGTACATATAATATGTTTTTGAATAGTACATGATACGCCGTTAGTATAGGTTAGTAAGACACAGTAGTGTGACAAAACAGTTATGTTAACGTATATGTATTCAACTCGAATAATTGGATGTAAATGTTTTAGAACCACGTTCTACATTAGGAAGATTTTAAATTACAGCCTCGAAAAATATAGGAAAAGAGGCGGAAGATACCAAGGAGCAATCAAAAGATGTATGTCGGAGAGTAACCGAAAAAATCGTTTAAGAAAAAACGAAATCTACGTTGAGGACAAGCAACAGTTTGCAAAACACTTTGTGGAAGATTCACGACTTTCTAACCTCAAACAATGGTTGATCCTAAGTGCACCGGAAACGAGACATTCGTCATGTTATTCATTCAGAAGACAAAAAGTAGAATATCGTTAAATGTCAAACAAACACAACTTCAATCAGGGCACTTTATATTTGATAAACGTTGTAATATTGAAAGAATAATTATTATATTATTTTAATAACAGTTATTATATTACAAAATATATATAATAAATTGTTTCGTACAAGTATAGCAAAATCTGAATGAAAGAAAAATAATCTATGATGATTTTTGTCAAGATCAGTCAATATGGTTTCTGATAAAGCATTCATCCTTCGGGTGGCTATTTCGAATGGAATGCCAATTGTTTGTGAAAAAAAACTATTCCTAGAAACGTAACAAATATGTTGTCAATCAGGGAATTAAATATCTTGATACTTGTATTTACGTTGGCTATTCTTTTTATGAACCAAAGCAGGATCAATTCTTTCAATTTGTCTTTAAGTTTGGAATGGGGAATACGGTTGGGTTCAGACCAACCATTACATAAAGTAAACGCACGTTAACGCCGCGTGCACATATTTCGTTAGTTAACTTCAACTTTCTATAACTACGTTAACGCGGTCAA